TTATATTACATTATTAATTTTAAATTTTATTTTAAATTTTTATTTCAAATTTTTATCAATTATATTATTACTAATTTCAAAAAAGTGCTTTTGTGATGTACCCAACCACAAAATCTTATATAATTTTTAAATATAATTAGATGAGTATATTCATTTAATATTATATTTTTAATAAATAAAAAATTAATCATTTTAAATAATACATAAAATTGTATTAAAAATTATCTTTTAATTATTTTTTAAAAAAATTATCAATAAATATCCAATCAACTTTAAAATTTTTTAATAAATATCCAATAATTTTTTTAAAAATATCTATTAGATAATAATTTATATCTAACATATATAATATTACAATTCAACCATAATAAAATTTAATTTTTTATTAATTTTCTTCACACTTCCTTATTATAGGTTTGACTTAATCTTGCCTTAATATTTATTAAATAGTAACTTACATATATCATATAATAATATTACAATCAAGTGAATTTATTTTTTATTAATTTTCTACACACTTTTCTTGTTATTGGCGGAGAATTTATTTCCCATTTATACAAATAAATAGAAAAAAAAAAGGAATAAGAAGAGGTGCGACACAATAACCATTTATTTCCTTAATATACTTTTGTATCTTTCCATAAAGGTAAAATTGCAGTGTTGATCTTCAACTTTCTAAAGGTTTTTTATTTTAGTCCTTAGATTTCATAAGTACAATTTGCTCTTCAATATCAGCTTTTTATTCATTCTTTAACTTTGTGAAACATTATGATTTAGTTTCAAATTTATAATTTTTAAAAGTTAAGTCTTATCCTATACAAATAATGAAAATAATATAAAATTAAATAAAAGCATATTAAATTCATTTAAATACTAATAAAATCAAAGATAAATTAGCATTGTATTATGCATGAGAATTAATTTTATAAAGTGTTATAAGAAAATTTGATAAATTTTGTATTGAAATTTTGTTAAGATTTTTTTTTTTTGAGCTATTAATATTGGATTTCTCATATCCAAAAGATACCAAAAAAAAAAAAAAAAAAAAACTAAAAGGAGGATTATGATTACAAATATAGTTGAAGATAACTTCTAAAAGGGTGTAAAGAGAATTGCAATCCTTAAACCATAAAAGTGAATGAAAAAGAATTAAAAAATGATTTTAAAAAATTATTCCACTTATATATATTTTAGCCTAAAACATTTCTAATGTACACAATGAAAGATAAAAGAAAATTAGGTTAAAAAGAGATATATAATGATAAGTAGAGATATAAAGAGTAACTAAAGGGGAATAACGTAGAAAGAAATATTTTACTGATTAAAAAATAGAAGGAAAGATAAAGGAGATAAAAGAATAATAACATGTAAATTACTAATATATAGAGAAAAAGTAAATGCAAGTATAAGATAAAATTATATATAATGATAAGAAGGAGAAAGCTAAGAGATGAAATCTAAAAAAGTAATGAAAAGTAAAGCAAGCAAGTGACAATGTACTGAGATGATAATATTAAGAAGTTATATCTTTTATATATTCACATATATTATATTATAAATATAGAGAAGAAGGGAGAAAAAAAGGTTAAATGTCAATTTTAGTTTTTCAACTTTAGTATTTTATATAGTTTTTGTCCTTCAACTTTTCATTACACTTTTTTCATCACTTAACTTTGAAAAATGCACACTTTTGGTCTTTTCATCAATTAATCTGTTAAATTTATTCAAATGTGCACATTTTTAATTCCTAAATTTATAATATATGCACATTTTTAATTTCTAAATTTACAAAATATGCATATATAAATAAACTTAAAGTATAGAATTAAAAATGTACATATATAGAAAGATTTCATTGATCAACAAATTTATGAAAATATGAAAAAGTGCATTTTTTTAGAGTGGAATGACCAAAAAAGTGCTTGAAATAGTTTAGGAATGAAAATGATGTAAAACCTTACCGTTGAGGGACTAAAATTGACATTTAACTAAAAAACCTAGTGTAAAAAAAGATATAAATAGTGATACATTGAAATGCAAGAAAATGACTAAGAAATAATAATAGAAATGGAATGATAATGGAAGAAAAAGTAAAAATAAATAAATATGAAATTACTAATATAATGGGAAAAAGATGATGAACATATAATATAAAGATAAATATAATGATAAATTATGATGATGGAATTAAGAGATAGAGTTACAAGAATAAACTAATGAGAGGTAAAGTAAAGGTAAGTAAAAAGGTACTATAGCATGATTATAATAAGTTGTGCATTTTATATTTTAACTTTAAGAGTTTGTAGGAAAATTATTAGTATACATTTGGTTCAACACATTTTTTTTTTCATTCGTCCTAATTCAATTATTAAAGTATAATATAAGTATAGTTAATTCAACCAGTTCATGCATCTTATATGCATGGCTACATATTGAAATTTATCTACTTTTAATTTTAAATAAAAAATAACAATTTTTCTAATAAATGTATTATACAATATGTTGAATCAAAGTATATACCAATCACTTTTCAAGTTTCTAATATATATATATATATATATAGAGAGAGAGAGAGAGAGAGAGAATTGAGGTAGGTACAAAGGGATCCATAATGAAAGATAATGATGCCTATAGTGGCTAAGGAAAAACAATAGAGTGAAGATGATAAGTGGAGAAAGAATAATAAAAAAATACTAATCTATAGAGGTAAAGAGAGGGCGAACCTAGGGTAGAAAAATAAATATAAGAATAAAATATGAGTGAGAAGCTAAAAGATTGAAAGATTGAGTTACGAGAAAAATTAATAATAAGAAAAGTGGAGTAAAGATTAGTAAAAAAGAATTGGAGAATAATCTTAAAAAGTTGTACCACTTATGTTTTGAGCCTTTTGATCAAAAACATTTCTAATGGACAATGGAAGAGAGAGAAAAATTAGGGTAAAACAAAGATATATAATGATAGATGAAGATGCAATGAGTAACTAAAAAATAATATATAATATAGAACGAAAGATAAAGGAGATGAAAGAAGAGTTAGATCCATTAACACAAAATTATTACACACCTTATTTGCACAAAATCTTAAATATTCACCTTTTCGCTATGAATAATTGAAATTTGTTATTTTTTTAATCTTATTTTATAACTATTATTGCCTTTTATCAATCATTTTTCTATATACATACATACATACACCCACACACAAACACATAAAGATATATGAGAGAGTAAAGATGAAATAGATGAAAAAAATGTAATTAAAGTTTAAAATAATGTAAAAAATAGATGCAAAAAAGTGATGAAAGTCTAAAATAATGTGAAAAAGATTAGTTTCAAAAAGAGAAATAAGAAGAGTTACATGCGTTAAGTCGAGACAGAATTAAAATGCATAACAATTACATATGTATATGATGATAAAACCAACTAAAAAATTAAAGATATTTCATAGAAAGATATAATAATAAATTATGAAAATTTATCTTTATTTTTCAAAATTAAATTAATTAAAATTATACACGAAACTATTTCTTTCATACCTACAATTTAAAGCTTTTTATTAATTAATACATTTAAAATTATTAAATATAAAAGAGAACATTCTAAGATGTATTTATTATTAACTACAAAATTAATAATTACTAAAAATCTTTTTAAAAAATAAGATGGATCACTAAGTGCTAGTTAAGGTCTAGTATTTGGTTAAAATCTTATTTTGGTCTTCCAATATTTGTATGAAGCTCTTTAATCTTCTTGTTAAGTTTTTATGCCTTATCTTTTCTCAAAATTAATTATATGGAAATCTGATGCATATAAAATGATGATATGTAAGTAAGTTTCTTATTTTATAATTTGAACTATATTAGACTATAAAACATGAATTATTGGGTGGGGAAGAGCCCTCAATATCAAGAGCTCACCATTTGTTCAATAGTGTTGTACAATACGATATAATCTAAATTGCATAACACTGTTAATGTTTAATTATAATTTAAAATTTAATTAACTCTAATAATCTTAATTATATATAAAATGGTTGTAATAACAAAATTCTTTTTAAAATACTCAAATAAAGACTCTTTGAATTTAAAAAAAATTCTTAATAAATTCCCAATGTGTTTAAAAAATTATTTAATAAATACTCAATGAATTTTTAAAAAATATTTATTAAAAAGTAATTTAAATCTAACATATAAAAATTACAATCTAACATTAATAAGATTTGACTTCTTATTAATTTTAATCTTACTTTCTTATTATAGGAGTTCAAGTACTATTTCTTTCATATCTTTCTAATTATATAACATTAGGATTACAATAGTACCAATGAAGAAATAAGAGGGAAAAAGAAAAGGATAAAAGGTGAGAGTTGCTAGGCACATGACTTATATATATA